GGCAACCCACGGCAGCCCAGCTCCAGGTTGAGCTGTTGTTCAGCATCTCAACTGTAGAGGGCAGTGTCACTGGCCCTCATATATGGGATCCAAACGGGGGCCCTCTGGCGTCCCAAGCCAGTTCTTAACCATCACGCCACTTGGCCGGCCCATGAGGTGCTTTTTGTTTCTAATTCTTTATAGGTAAACTTTGTCCCTCTTCTAGGGTCAAGGGTTGAGGTTTAGTTATTGTCACTCTAAGCACTCATCAGTGCTGCTGCTACTGGTACTCTGCAGTTTCAGAGATAGCCAGTATAAAACTCCCGCCCTTAGAGAGCTCTAGTGGAGACATAGTCAAAGAAACACTTGAAAAGCACCACAGTTGGGGCGGCCGGTTAGATCAGGTGGTTAGAGCACAGGCTCATAACACCAAGGTTGCCGGTTCAATCCCCACATGGGCAACAGAGCTGCACCCTCCACAACTAGATAGAAGACAACTACTTGACTTGGAGCTGATGGGTCCTGGGACAACACCCTGTTCCCCAGTAAAATTTCTTTTAAAGAAAAGCTAAGATTGTACCTACAAGAATAAAGTAGAACAATAAATTTTTAAAAAAAACAGAAAAGCACCACAGTAAATGCTATAACAGGGGCACATGCTCTGCTCTTGGGAACAGAGTGGAAGAGAAGGAGCCATATCTTACTCAACTCTCCACAGAGGCACAAGAGCGGACTGGTTCAGAGTGCTGGTTCTCCTGCCACACCACCTGATATAAGTCCCAATCGTTAGCCTCATCTATAAAAGGGGAATTAGTAAAGGTGCCTAATGAATGAGATGCTGAGGTTTCCAGGCGTTACTATATGTAAACTATTTATAATAGTACCCAGTGGGTGCTATCAACGTGTTTGTTGTCATTATTGGCACGTTATTGACACATTAATGTCTCTAGGGCACTGCACATACAGTCAACCAAGAAAACGAATGCATTAGCAGACTGAGGGGGACAAAGTGACCGAGAAAGAGAGAGAGAGAGAGAGAGAGAGAGAGAGAGAGAGAGAGAGAGAGAGAGAGAGAGAGAGAGAGNAGAGAGAGAGAGAGAGAGAGAGAGAGAGGAGAGGCTTTTTTGATAAAGTGGCTTTTGAGCAGAAACCTGTAGGAATGAGAGAGTGAGATGTATATGTGCACCTAAGAAGACAACTGTTTGTCTTTGATTTGCACTCCCAGCCCCTGAAGGTGAGGGATGTAAGCTAAAAAGGTTTCAATTTAATACTTCTTCAACTATGGTAAATATTAAAATTAATATTAAAATTGATGTTATTGTTAAAAATAATAACATTCTTAGCCAACCCCACAAATTTTACTTTATTAGACTGTTTTTTGCTTTGTTTTGTTTTGTTTTGTTTTGTTTTTCTCAAAGATTTTATTGGGGAATTGGGGGAGGGAACAGCATTGGGGAATTGGGAAAGGGGAACAGAAAGTTGCTGTCTTTTTTTTCTTCGGTCTAGTTGTGGAGGACGTCACTTCACTGGCCCATGTTGGTATTGTGATCATTGCGCTCTTCCCGGCTGAGGCAGATCAGTTGCTGGCCATTGGACAGCCACTCACTCCAGCTGCCGGCTGCTCACACTGGCTGCCAGCCACTCATGGTAGCTTACAGCAGCCCACTGCAGCAGGGGCTGCAGCCTATGCCGTCACTGGTGACTCACAGCAGCCCAGCTCCAGGTCGAGCTGTTGTTCACCATCTTAGCTGTAGAGGGCAGTGTCACTGGCCCATGTGGGATCCGAACCGGTGACCTTGCTGCTCAGAGCTCACACTCCCAAGCCAACTCTTAACCAACAAGCCACTCAGCCGGCCCTATTAGACTGTTTTTATCAAATAAAACCAAAGCTTTAAAACTGTTAATATCACATTTTACTTCCACTTAAAATTATATTCTCTATTTATTTTAACATGATTTGATAAACACTTTTTTTTTCTTTCAATGAACAGGACTTCTGGAGACTTTTCAAAACAATAATGCACTACTTGACCAAATTCAGAAGTGTCTGGAGGCATATTTAGAATCAAAAAGAGTTATCTTTCCACGGTAAGTTTATAAAGCAAACTACGATATTTTTTAGTAGTTAAGACTATCCATTAATTTAAAAGGATATACTTCAAAACAAACCATAACCTCAAAACATTAGGGAATCAGAGGAAAACAAAAAAGATATGCGATAATGGCAATTCAGCTAACATCTTGATTAAGGAGTGTAAATCTCAAGGGGAGATACAATATTTGGTAAAAGTTTAAGTGGGTAACTACCTGAGGTGCTGGAAGTATTCTTGATGACAGCATTTGGGTGTGTATGTGTGTGCCCACATGTGTCTGTGTGTCCACAGGTGTGTATGTTTAAAGTTAGAGAGACCTGTGTTGCCTGAGCAGGTTTCTTTAGGTTAATTGGTGGCCTAAGAATGTCACTTTAGAAGTTGTCTGAGAGATCATTTCACAAATTCTAAATGAAATTTTTTTACTCACCTATGCATTCTAAAATCATACCAAATGTTATGCACAGTGCTGACGATGCAAGGGAGAAAGTCCAGTCTCTGCCCTAATGGAGCTTGTGGTGAACAGGTAGACAGACAGTCATGTCAATAAACCATTACGATACAATTATATGAGATCATAGTATGACTACTTGATGGTAGCCTAACTTCAGTCTTTGGGGCATATTGTACCATAACTGGAGAACATTAGCAACATGTTTCATCATTCATGGATTTTCCCTGTTAACTGTTAAGGAAATAGGAGTTAAGTTGTGTCCTAGGACAAACATTGAGACAGCCAGGGTTAGATGCTTATCTGGGTTACCTGGCTGAGAGGGGTCGTTGCTGAGTACCGGGACAGGGTATGTGTGTACACAGGAAATGCAAGAGCCTGAAGTTATGGTTGAGTTTTAACAGAAGTCATTGGGCTTTAAAGAATCTTACTAAAAATTTTTACACAAATCTTACTAAAATGTCTTTCAAGCACCATAGAAAAAGATGGGGAGAGTTTGAGGTTTGGAATATGTCATTTGTCTGTTTCACTCTTAAATCAGTGGTTCCCAACCTGGATCTTCCAAGACGGAAGAAAATCTGTACACTGCTTTTGATATTTAAAGAAACATGAGCACAAATTTACCTGTGAAAATACTGAGCACCAAAAAAGTCTCAGCTCTATTTTTTCCTTTTGTTTAGAATTACATCAATTAGGTCAGCAGTGTTTATTATGTCAGGAGGCTCTAGCAAGCATTGATTTCACTCTGCAAGCCTTACGGAAACTTTCTATGAGCCATAGACAAGTTAGGTCCTGGAGAAACAAGATGAATACAATACTGTTCCTGCTGTCACAGGGCTCATAGTCCAATCTTTATGGTTATCTGGTTCATTAGATGAAAACAAGGCTTGGGGACAAATTAATTATGACTGTATCTGTTATGTTAAAGAAGCAGGACTGATAGAGTGTAACTAAAAACATCTTTATTTGTAACTAATGACTGCCTCTGCATTTCTTGCTGAGGGCTAGTTTCTTTCTGCCCTTCTAGACAAAATCTTGATCAAGCCTCATGAATGTTCTGGTCATTCTCAGATAATAATACAAAAAAACCTCGTGTCACCTTAACCCAATAAATGATCTGTAATAATCAAAGCTCTGAACTTCTTTCAAAGTTAACACTCCCCCCTTCCTAGCCCAACCCTGCTGCAGTGAAGGTGAGAATGTGTGGCAATCAACCCTCCCCACTTCCTGTTAGGTTTCTGAGGTGTTCACTTTGGAGCAGGAAAGGAAGGAGAGGCCAGGTGACAGGAGAAGCCTGACTTGGCTGGTACCCATCTGTCCCCCTCTCTCACACATGGAGCCTGCCTTGGGCTCACGGGATTCCCTCCAACCCCGAGGGATCTCTCACGGGCAGCTTCCTTCACAGACGTGAAGTATCTTCTCTGGCCAGACCCTCCTCCCTGGCCCTCATCCCTGGGCATCCAGGTATATCCCTCCTCCAGTTCTTTTCCTAAGGCCTTCTTCATGCCTCCCAATGGCCCCATTGGGCAGGATCTAAGAAAATGCCATGCAGGATAACACTAACATTGCCCACATATATTCACAGAACCAAATAAAGCTCCTGTAGCCACCCATCCACCTAGCCAACAAATTATATACTGGATACAGGGTATGAATGAGGTACCAGGCTCGATTCTAGGGAAAACAAATTATATATCTTCATTGTAGAAGTTCAGAGCCAAATAACAAAGACATGTGAAGAAATCAGTGTTATGGCAAGAGCTAGCATTTATTACAATTTTTATGAAAATATCTATTTTTCTGTCCCAGGAACTAATTCTAGATGTTAGAGATGCATCCACACTAATCTTCACAATAATTATGCTTAGAGACATGTGGCGTCCCCAGAAACCCAAGACCAGCAGGCGTAGAGGTCCAGGACGTCAGTGGATGGGGAAGGGGTTTATTTTGTATGTCTGTGCAAGCCTTTGCTCCAACTTTAAATTATATTTTAAGTATTTTCTTCAATCCAGATTTTACTTCTTGTCAAATGATGAACTTCTGGAGATTTTGGCCCAGACACGGAATCCCCAAGCTGTGCAGCCACACTTACGGAAATGCTTTGACTCCATTTCAAAGCTCGAATTTGCTGTCCTGATTTCTCCTGAAGCAAAAGTTCCTACTATGGATGGAGAGCCAGAAAAAGTTTATACTAATGATATTTTAGCAATGTTGTCACCAGAGGGAGAAAGGGTGAGGTGCTTTTTTATTTTTTAAGATTTTTATTGGGGAATTGGGGGGATGGGAACAGTGCTGGGGAATTGGGGGAAGGGGAACAGACAAGCTGCCGTGGTTTTGTTCCTCAGTCCAGCTGCGGAGGACGCTGCTTC